ACGGTGACATCCACACCTTCCGAGACGCGTGTGGCGACCCGTGCCCGGGCTGCGACCTGCACACAAAGTGCCTGCGCTCGGATGAGTTCGCGCGGTGCGTCTGCGGGTTCGGGAAGTGCGGCGGGCACGTCTACCCGTGGGGACCGGGAGAGCTCGACGTGGTTGTGCGGTTGCACGCCAAGAGCTGGTCGTTTGGGTACGGCGGGATGGGATCCTTTTCGGGGTACAATGAGGCCGTGCTCGACCCCGACTTGTGGATCGAACACCTCCCCGCCTCCATCGAGGCGGTATTCTTTGTCGATCCGGCCGACCCGGTGTGCGACATCAAGCAGGTCAAGCGGCAGGGTGGGGGGCAGTGAGCAGCGTCTCTTCACACCTCTGCGTGTGGGCAGGTGCTTGAGCGGGCGAGAGAGGTGTACCGGCGGCTGCGCAACGCGTGCCGTTTCTGCCTGGGCAGCCTCCCCCCCGACAGTGTCCCGGCTAACGAAGCCAGGAGTGGGCGTCTCATTGAAACGACACACTGACCAGGCGGCGTCTCCGAGTGTGTGCCGGCTCATCCACCCTAGTAGACCGGCCTGAGCATGCCTCACTCACTCGAAGGCAACCTTTCCGATTTCGACCCGGAGGCGGACGCGCTGCCGGTGGAGCGGATGCGGCTCGCCGACCGCCCGCTGCTCCACTTGCTACTTCATGGGGTTGTGAAAGATGACTGGTGCAGCGTTGGTGGTCAGGCTCGCCGACCGGCACATGCTCCACTTGCTCGCCGAGCACTCCTCCCGCGTGCGCGAGATCCGCCTCCCCCGCCCCGCCGCACTCCCCCTCCTCCTCCTGACGGCCCCACGCGTCGCCCTCCTCAGGTGCGCGAGAGCTACTCCACCCGCCAGCTGCACCGGGTGGTTGGCTCGACCCTCGCACTCGCGACGGAGCGCCAAATCTCCCAATATCTCCCCAAATCTCCCCATATCTCCTTCGCACTCGCGACGGAGCGCCATATCTCCCAATCTCTCCCCAAATCTCCCAATATCTCCCCAATATCTCCCCATCTCTCCCTCGCACTCGCGACGGAGCGCCTCTGGGACGAGAGCTGCGACTCGGTCCTTTGCTCGCGCTTCATTTGCTGTTGCCGTCGCTGCTGCTAGGATGAGGGCAGCGACTCATGCACTGACTGCTCGTTGGTTGTCTGTGATTGATGTTGATACTGATAGGAGCGCCTCTCGGCCGAGTACTTTGACTCGACCAAGGATCGCCCCATATCTCCCCAGATCTCCCCAGATCTCCCCAGATCTCCCCAGATCTCGGCGGATCACTTTGTCTTGACCAGAGCCTCCGCTGGGGCGACGCCGTGTGGTCCCTCACGAGCTCACCCCCCCCACCCCCCTTCCGAGCAGGACCGGCTGTACTGCGGCGACGCGGACGGCGACTCGCGCCGGGCAGTGCAGACGGTGCCGCGAGCCCCGCTCGACGCCTTTGCTGCCGCTGCGAGCCCGCTCCTCCTCCCCGCACCTGCTCACCGCCTCCGCCTGCGAGGCAGGTGCTGCACGCCGCGCTGGACGCGCTGCTCCTCTCGATCGGTGCCGCACCACCCGCCCCCTTCCCGGCCGCGGCGGGCGAGGCAGGGAGCCCTCCCCTCCGACGCCTCTCTTCCGCCCTCCTGCAGGCCCGATCACGCCCTTCCTGGCGGAGGAGGTGCACGAGCACCGCGGCGCACAGCGACCGCCGCCGCCGGTGGGTCGCGTCGTGGCGTGAGGGCGTGTGCCTGGCGCACCTCGCCCATCCCCCCCCCCCCCCGGCTGGCCTCTCGGCTGTAGGTTGAGCGTGTCTGGGAGGACCTGCCGGCTTCTTGGACCGACTTCGACCTCGCGCGCCGCTGGGCGCTGGCGGAGAGGGCGCGGCGAGACGCGCTCCGAGAGACCCGTCCCGAGAGATGCGCCTCGCCTCCGCTCCCAGAGTGGACACCCTTCCGAGGCGGACTGAGGCTGGCCGAGGCTGACCGGGACCTCTCCGTGCCAGGTGCGGGAGGAGCTTGCCATATCTCCGCCGTATCTCCGCCATATCTCCGCCATATCTCCGCCATATCTCCGCCATATCTCCGTGCCAGGTGCGGGAGGAGCTGGCGCCGCTGCTGCACGAGGCGAGGGTGGGCGGCCGGATCGGCGGCGCGGGGGAGGCGCTGGTGGAGGCGGGCGCTGCTCGGCAGGAGGGAGGGAGCATTGCGGCAGGCGCGGATCACCGCTGCCCCGTCGGTGTGAGCAGGTGCGCTGCTCGCCGGAAGGAGGCGAGCTGCATGTGGCGCTCGAGTCGCTAGGCGCGGGAGCTCAACGACCCGCTCGGCGTGCATAGGCGGGCGCCCGTCTCTCCACAGTTGCCGCCCCGTGTCGACTAGGCGCGGAGCTCAACGATTTGCTCGGCGTCTGCGGCACGCGTGTCGTCGGCGCCTCCGCCGCCGGTGGCGGGGGAGAGGACGCGGCGGCCGCCGTCGCCGCGTGGGGCGGGGGAGAGATCGTGGCCGAGGGCGGCGCGGAGGGCGGCGCGGAGGGCGGCGCGGAGGGCGGCGCGGAGGGCGGGGAGGGGTGCGCCGGCTGGTCGGTGCGGCTGCTCGTGCAGCGCGCGACGGCGCCGCGGTGCGAGCGCTGCTGGAGGCACATCCCTCCGGAGGGCGCCCTCCACGAGAGCGAGAGCGCGGTGCTGGCCGACGGCTGGCTGTACCGCGGCCACCCCGACGCGGCGTGCCCGCGCTGGCTGGAGGCGGCCGGCGAGGGAACCTCGGGATGAGACAGTCACGCATCGGCTGGCCACGTGTGTCTCGCCACCGCTATTTCCCTCCCCACGAGGTGCGAGAGTTTTGTTTTGAATTTTCGGCGGCTCGCAATTCTTTTTCTCGCGATGTCCACTCCGCCGCGCCGCTCGCGCCGCCTCGCACCCGCCGCCACCGCCGCGCCCTCGGCAGACACGCCGCCGCCCACCCGCCTCCTCGAACTCCCCACGGACCTCCTCGTGCGCGTCGTCTCTCGCTGCGACCCCCTCGACATCGCTCGCGTCGCGGCCGTCTCGCTCCTCTTCCACGCCTCGCTTGCGGAGGACGGCATCCGCTTGTGGGCGCGAGAGCGCGGCTTCGAGCTGCCGGCGCAGCCAGAGGGCGAGGTCTGCGCCGTGCGGTGGCTGTGCTATTCGGCGCTGCTGTGCGAGTCCAACCCGCCGGCGAGGGCGGCGGGAAGCGCTCTGCACAGTCTCTTCATCGACGGCGAGGGGCGGCTCTCGTCGTGCGGCTCTGCGCCGTCCTACTCGCCAGTCCTGCTCGGCCACGGCGAGGGCGTGACGCGGCTCAACACGCCGACTCGGCTGCCGTCGACGCTGGGTGAGCGCGCCATGAGCGTGGCAGCTGGCGCCGACCACAACCTCGCCCTCACCGCCGGCGGAGCCGTCTGGAGCTGGGGCGATGGAGGGGAGGGCAAGCTGGGCCACGGCGACGAGGAGGAGCAGTGGCAGCCGAAGAAGGTCGAGGCTTTTGATGGCCATCGTGTCTTCGCTGTGTCGGCTGGCGCCGCGCACAGCCTCGCCCTCACCGCAGACAGCGCTGTCTGGAGCTGGGGCTATGGATTCTTTGGCGAGCTGGGCCACGGTGACGAGGAGGACCAGCTGCTGCCCAAGAAGGTCGAGGCCTTTGCTGGGTGGCGCGTCGTCGCCGTCTCGGCAGGATCCCGCCACAGCCTCGCCCTCACCGCCGACGGCGCTGTCTGGAGCTGGGGCTGGGGAGCCTTTGGCCGGTTGGGCCACGGCGACCATCAGAGCCAGCTGCTTCCCAAGAAGATCGAGGCGCTCGCTGGCCGGCGCGCCGTCGCTGTGTTCGCTGCGAGCAGCCACAGCCTCGCCCTCACCGCCGACGGCGCCGTCTGGAGCTGGGGCCATGGAGCCTTTGGCCGGTTGGGCCACGGCGACGTGCAGGACCGGCTGCTGCCCGAGAAGATCGAGGCCTTGGCTGGCCAGCGCGTCGTCGCTGTGTCGGCTGGAGAGAGCCACGGCCTCGCCCTCACCTCCGACGGAGCCATCTGGAGCTGGGGCAATGGAGGCAATGGCCGGTTGGGCCACGGCGACGAGCAGAGCCAGCAGCAGCCGAAGAAGGTCGAGGCCTTTGCTGGCCAGCGCGTCATCGCCGTGTCGACTGGAGCATTCCACAGCCTCGCCATCACCGCCGACGGCGCTGTCTTTACCTGGGGCAGGGGTGAAGACGCCTGCCTAGGCCACGGAGAGGACCAGACGAACCAGCTGCTGCCAAAGAAGGTCGAGGCGTTGGCGCCGGGGCAGTGAGGCATCGGGCTCGGACTACGGTCCCGCCTTGCCCCAAGTTGGAGGATATTTTTCTTGTTTCTTAATCGCCTCAGTGAGGTATTTACGATTGCAGTCAGATGAATAGGGGTGAGAACAGCCAGGCTCGGGCTGGACACCAGGGCGGTATGGAAGCGCTCGCCCGAATCCGCGTTTCTTGTTCTACCACTCTCCGCTTCCTCTTCGTGCTGGTACTGGTCGCTCGTCGGCGGTCGCTCGTCGGAACGAGGGCCAATTATGTCTCTCCCCGACGGCCAGCGCACCATCGGTCCACACTTTGTTGCCGACGCCGACCTGGCCGGCCTCCTATTCGACTGCGACGGCACGCTCATTGACACGATGCCACTCTTCTATCACTCGTGGGCCGAGGTGTGCCCTCAGCACGGCCTATCGATGTCGGAGGACGACTTTTACGGCTTCGCGGGGAAGCCGCTGCCCGACATCGTGCGGGAGATGCACCGCGCTCAAAAGGGCACCGACGCGACCGACGCCTTTGTGGCCGCCTTTCTGGCGGAGAAGAAGCGGGCGCACCTGCAGGCCGAGGAGAAGATCGGCGCGCCGGCGCCGATTGCGTGCGTGGTGGCGCTCGCGCGTGGGGCGCTCGCGCGAGGAGTGCCCGTCTGCCTGGCCACCAGCGGGTCGCGCGAGCGGCACGTCGAGCGCCGACAACGCGCCGACTGCTTATCGAAAGGAGGCTGCCAACAGGTTGCGGGAGCACGTGGAGCGGCACCTCGAGAGCGCTGGGCTCGCGGACATCTTCAACTCGAGGCTGGGGAACGTGGTGTGCGCGGCGGAGGTGGCGGCAGGCGCGAGATTACACGAGATGGCACGAGATGGCACGAAGTGACACGAGGTGGCGGCGGGCACGCCTTGGATAGAAGAGGCGAGGGGCGAGACGTGGAGGACAGCCGCCGACTTTGGGACTGAACAGGCAAGCCCGCGCCGGACATCTTCCTCGAGGCCGCGCGGCGCCTCGGCGCGGGCCTCGAGATGCAGCCGAGAGCCAGCCGAGAGCCAGCCGAGAGCCAGCCGAGAGCCAGCCGAAGATTCCTCGAGTAACAGCGCAGTCGTTCGCGGCTCGATACCGACCGCATCTCGGCGAGATCTCGGGCACAATCTCGCCAGGCGCGGACCCGGCCCGCTGCCGTGCGTTCGAGGACGGCGAGGCGGGGCTCGCGTCGGCACATACGCCGCCGGCTGCCACGAGATTGGTCGGAAATGCACCGCTTATCAGTAGCTTTGAGGAACAGGCACACGCCGCCGGCTGCCACGTGGTCGACGTCACGTCCATGGCGGGCTACCCGTCGTGCGACGGGCTGAGGCGCGCGAAGCAGGCGGCGGAGGCGAGCCGCGCTTGGCTCTCACCGCCAGGGGCTGCAGCTGTGCCGCCGTGACACTCGGACACCTCCGCCCGCCATGGAGCGCGGCGCCGCTAAGCGAAGCGACGAGACGGAACCCTTTCCTCTTCCTTCATGCAAAAGTACTGTGTTCAGTCCCACAGTTCGGTCAGAAGTGTGAGGGCAGCTTATTTCCGAGAGAGCTTCGCGTGAAGCCGTGAAGCCGTAATGTCTCTTTTGTCAAAAAACAGAGGCACCCCCCGCTCCGCCGTCGCCTGACCCCTGTGCCCCATGCTGTGCCCTAAGCCTAACGCCTCGCCCCGCTCGGCGCGCGTCGAGTAGGTTCATATCAACGCCGTGTAGCGTTGCCCCACCAACGTGCCCACCGCGGAGCCCACCAGCGCCCCGACCGCCGAGCGCTTCTTCCCCACCCGGCCTCGCCCCCCGCGCGGCTTCGCCCCCTCGTTCTGCATATAGTGCAGCTTCACCTAGCGGATCACGGCGGCGGCGGGTGGAGCAGGAGCGGGAGGGCGGCGCTCCGCAACGGATCTCGCGCACCATTTTGCGGTGGCTGAGCACCGATCGGAGCGTTCCCCTCTTGTCGTACCCCGTCAGCTCGAGTCGGAGCAGGATGACGCCGATCGTTGGCAGGAGGAACAGGAGGTAAGGCAGTGCCGTCGCCATCGAGAGCACCGAGAGCAGCCACCAGACGCCACGCTCCGTGCTCGTCGACTCGAGGGTGAGGAAACGCGTCCAGAGCGCCGCGATGTCGGTGACAATACCGAGCGGGCCGCACCCGTTGACGCGATAGATGAGATCGGCCGAGGCGAGAAAGGAGATGCCCAGCAAAAAGGCGAGGTCCACTGCAACCACCCCTCGCGTAACCCGGTCGCTCCGCGGCTCCGCTCGCTGCCGCTTGGAGGGGATGCGGCCACAAGTGGCGACGCGCTCCCACGGCCCGACGATGTCCTCGAAGGGGTACCAGGAGACGGAGAGCGAGATGGATCCGTGCTTCGCGGCGGCGAGGGGCACGTCGGTGAGAGTGATGGAACCCTCGCTGAGCAGCTGGCCGAGCTCGAGCTCTAGCTCGCCGAGGTCGTCGTCTGTGCTGCCAATATCGTGATCGAGCACCTTGACAAGGAGCGTCTCGTCTTGCACAAGCTCGCCAAGGAAGCCCTCGAAGGCTAATCGCTCGTCCCAGAGCGGGAAGAGGCTACGCTTCACGACCCTCGACCGCCTTCGCTGCCGGCCGAGCCGCACTAGCACGTACGGGTCGGAGGACTGGGTGCGCGCGTCCTTGGCCTCCAAGTTCTGGGCGCTGCGCACATGTACCTCGATCTCGCCGTAGGCGTGCGCGTCGATGAAGCGCATCGCTGGTCGCGACGCCATCCGCGACGGCATCTTCGTTGGGGCGCGCGGGACCGCCTCCCCGCTGGTAAGAGATGTCTCGGCCCCAGCCGACGACGCGGCCGCGCCGCCAAACGACGAAGCGGCCGCGACGGCACACGCGTCCTCGTCCTTCCTCGCCGCCGGCCGCCGCTCCAGCCAATCGATGGCGATGGTAAGGTGACCGCTCGTTGCGTTGAACGGCCCGGTCGCAGTCAAGGGCAGCTCCCAGCGTACGACGGGGGCGGCAGACTCTTCGAGCTCGCACAAGATAGGTTCGAGCGGCACCTCGCACTCGGAGAGAGGCTCCGAACGGAAGCGGCCCTTATCGAGCACCTGTAGGTGGAGCACTTTGCCCATAAAGTCGCTGAGGACGCCGTCAAAGGTCAGCCGCTCGTCCCACTCGGGCTGCAGCCTATTCACAGTCCAAGCCATGAGTGCAAGCGCGGTGATTTGGCGCTCCTGCTTCTCGCTGGGCGCGCGTCTGCCGCACCACTTTCGACTTGCGCCGCTGCCTGCCGATGCTCGCGACGACGTACGGGTCGGCGCTGCTGCTGCTGCCCTTGGGAGCCAGAGCGCCGCCGCGGAAGAGGTGCACAGCAAGCTCTCCTCGCGCGTGCATGTCGAGGTAGTCTCGGCGGGGCTGCGTCGGCGACGCACCCGCCGAGGGCACGGTGGAGGCGGCGGGGGAGGGGTCGGTCTGCGGGGCCCAGCCGACCTCGAGCGAGAGTAGGCCCTGCTTGCCGTCCTGGAAGTGGAGGTGGTGAAGTTGGTGAGTGCGCCGCGGCGAGGTCGATGGCTGGAGCAGAAGAAGGCTCAGGTCGAGCGCTACCTCGCCTGATAGGCGTGACCGGGACGCGTCAATGAAGGATAGAGAGCAGGGAAGGTATCTTGCGCGTTGACCGAGCTTGTCATCGCGCGTCAGCACGTCGCGATCGTACACCACCACCTGCACCGGCTTTGCGACGATGTCCCGCAGCACGCCCTCGAATCCGAGCCGCTCGAACCACTCCGGGTCGAGGGTGCGAGGCATCACCTTGGTCTTGCGCGTGGTGCTGCCGACCGTCACCTTCACATACGGATCGGCGAGCCCATTCCGGTCCGTGCTCTCTAGACCCCGGGCACGTAAAACGAAGACGGTCAGTGCGCCCTTGACGCCAAGGTCCGGCGTGGGCAGGTCGACTGCCCCCGCCGAAAGCCCTGCGGCAGAGGCGGCGGCGGCGGCCGTGTCGAGGAGCCCTTGCTGCGCGCTGGCGACAAGGTCGAGAGCTGTGCATGCCGTCGACGCGGCTCGCCGGTGCGCCACCCCGCGTCGCGCCGCCGAACGCACCGCCTCGACCCGCTTGAAGGCAAGCCAGCGCACTCGGCGCGTGTGCAGGTAGGAGAGAAACGTACCCGCCACGAGCGCCTCGAGCGCAACCAGTGTCACCGCCGCGGTCTGCCCTCGGACAGACATGCCGGGCGCTGCCTCGTTGCAAGAGAGGGTGGTGGTGCAGTAGTAGAGCTCGGCGAGGCCGACGAGCATCATGACGAGCTGCTGAACCACCCAGTTCGCCTGACAGGCAGGTACGCTCTCGCTCACATTCCTTGAGCTCAGGCCTGCGGTCACAGGTGCTGAGCGGCTGCAATGGCTCGGAGTCTTAGCTCTAGCAAAAGCTCTATTCTGCCTTGACGAGGGCAATGAAGCTGATCAGCTGGTATTCGTCGCTCTTGTCGATGAAGAGGAGGAGGAGGGCGAGCGGCGGCAGCGAGACAAAGTAGAAGGGGCAGAGGGACGCGCCGAGCCAGGCGAGCGCAAGCGGCTGCTGCGCCACCCACATGAAGGGCTTGTCTGCGGGCCTGAGCGAGTAGAGCAGCTTTGCGCGCGCCCACGTGTAGAGCCCTCCTCCGCACCCGTCGAGCTCCGGGGCGGAGGGCCAGTCGGAGAGGCGCTTGGCAGCCTGGCGGCTCTGCATACGGGCGGGACAGTTATGAGCTTTGAAGCGTGTTTGAAGCAGGGTAGTGACCACACAGGTGCGATCTGGGCCCGTGGCTGTCTATTTATGTGCAGCAGGGGGAGTCGCCTGCGCTAGCTCCGCGTCATCGTGCTTGGTATGGCTCTTGTTGACGAGAATGTGCTCTCGCACCGCGTCCGCGACTGCGGGCCACACGCCGCCCCACCCTCGCCTCAGGCCCCTTGTGAAGAGCGGCGGCATCCACTGCGAGCGGGCGCGGCGGAGCGGTTAGGCAAGAGCTGATGCGGTGTGCCGTTTCGGTGGGCATATGTCTATGTGCGAGGGCAATGCGGGTGTGGCAGCGGCATCGCATCGCCATTGAGGTGGCTGCAGCGCACAGGGTCCTCCTCCAAGTCTTCTATCATCCGCTCGACGAACTTTGCGATCTGCGAGTTGGTCGTCTCGATTGTCCCTTCCAGCACGACGTCGCGAGTACGCGAGATGGGCCGGAGCGACTTCAAGCCCTTCATGACGATGAGATCGGGCGCTGGGGACGTGCGTATAGGCCTAAAAGAAGAATTTAAACGGCCTCGCTCACATGAATTTTCACGCCAACACTGGGCACGGGACTGGCGCGCACTGGCACTAACACAGGTACACCACGGGAGCCGCAAAAGCGACTCCGGGGAGAAACACGAGCGAATTCTTCTTCTGCTGTCCGGACATGGCCTCCCACCGCATTTGCCCCGGGTCCTCGTAAACCCACAAAAAATTAATTAATGGTTGCTTCGCTTAAATTCTTTTGAGAAAAGAAAACGCTGCGAACTGCGCCATGGCCTCCCACCGCATCGGCGCCCGCCTCGCGGGCCTCTCGCAAGAGCAGCTGATCGAGCTGATCGACAAGCAGGCGCCGCTCTGGAGCGCCGCCGCGCTGCGCGTGGCGGACGAGCACGCCGCACGGCTCGTGGAGCAGCCTGAGTGGGTGCTCTCCGAGGTCCTCCTCTCGCCGGACCTCGCCCCGCACATCCTCGCCCAGCTGCCGACCAAGGAGCACTCGGTCAAGGCGACGTGCCGCGCGTGGCGCCGCGGCTGGAAGGAGACGCTGAAGAAGCGCAAGAGGCCGCGCATGCTCGTGATCGGCGGCCAAGGCAGTGACTACGAGGGCGGCGGCTATAACAACGACGCCAACAGCTCGCTGGAGCGGTACGACCCGACAACCAATGAGTGGCAGGAGGAGGCCGTGGCGCCGATGCCAACGGCACGTGAAGATGTCTGCATGGGAGTGCTCGATGGCAACCTCTACGCGGCGGGCGGCATTGGCGAGGACGGCCCAGCTTCCAGCTTGGTGGAGCGGTACAACTTTGCTACGAATGCGTGGGAGGCGGTGGCGCCGATGACGACAGCACGCGCATTTCTCGCAGCTGCAGAGCTCGAAGGCAAGCTGTATGCTGTCGGCGGCGAGCGCGACGACGACGGCCCCCTCAGCGCGGTTGAGCGGTACGACTTTGCTACGAATGTGTGGGAGGCGGTGGCGCCGATGGCGGAGGCGCGGAACTGTCACGGCGTGGCGGTGCTCGACGGCAAGCTGTACGCTGTGGGTGGCTTCAACCGCGAGAATGGCGGCCACCTCAGCTCGGTCGAGCGGTACGACCCGGCGTTGGACGCGTGGGAGGCGGTGGCGCCGATGGCGAGGGCGCGGGCTGCTCACGGCGTGGCAGTGCTCGACGGAAAGCTGTACGCTGTGGGGGGCTACAACCACGAGAATGGCGGCCACCTCAGCTCGGTCGAGCGGTACGACCCGGCGTTGGACGCGTGGGAGGCGGTGGCGCCGACGGCGGTGGCTCGGAACCACCCCGGCGTGCCGGTGCTCGATGGGAAACTGTACGCTGTGGGCGGGTACGACGGCGACACGGGTAACGCATCCAGCTCGGTGGAGCGCTACGACCCCGCGACCAATGCGTGGGAGGCGGTGGCGGCGCTCGCAACGGCGCGATATGGTCATGGCATTGTCGTGGCTTAGAAGGGCGGGCCGTGCCACAATGGAGCACTTCGAGTGCAGTCGGCAACCGCACAAATAAATAAATAAATAAAACGGACACCTCTACTAGGAGATGGGTAAAAAGGAACAGGTCCCCGCCCTGCGGTCTTTGTGCAGGGTTCTTTGTGGGTGTGGTCGGCGACTAGAGCCGGGGTCGTCCTCCCGATGGGGGGACTAGCACTAGCCGTCTTCCACATGGTCCCTCGGGTCCCTGCTGCTCCTAATCTCGTCGTACATCCTCCTGCTGATCTCCGCAACATCCTGCTCCCTCCCTCGTCTCGCCCTGCGCGTCTGCTCCGCCTCACCGACACCGTCGTCTGCTCTGCGTCGTCTGGTGACGGGTCCATAGTCGGTTGAGGTCGCCGCCCTCCTCGTGCCTCTTCCCAACGTTCCCTCGGCGGCCGATGCCGTCCGCTCCGGCTCCCCAGTCCCCGGGTAACCGCACAACCAGGGCATTTCGCCCTTTTTTCTCTATATATTTCCTGCGATAGCGCCAAAATTCTTTTACGGGGCCGCTGGAATTCTTTTTGGTGTGTGTCGTACCTGTATCGAACCTGTGTGCTGTGAGAGAGGGTTGGCTTTGAATTCTTTTTTCTCGCGATGTCCACTCCGCCGCGCCGCTCGCGCCGCCTCGCCACCGCCTCCGCCGCCGCTCCCTCGCCAGACACGACCCCGCCCGCCCGCCTCCTCGACCTCCCCACGGACCTCCTCGTGCGCGTCGTCTCTCGCTGCGACCCCCCCGACATCGCTCGCGTCACGGCCGTCTCGCTTCTCTTCCACGCCTCGCTAGCGGTGGAGGGCATCCGCTTGTGGGCGCAAGAGCGCGGCTACGAGCTGCCGGCGCAGCCAGAGGGCGAGAGCTGCGCCGTGCGGTGGCTGTGCTATTCAGCGCTGCTTTGCGTGTCCAACCCGCCGGCGAAGGCGGCGGCAGGCGAACAGCACAGCGTCTTCATCGACGGCGAGGGGCGGCTCTCGTTGTGCGGCTCAGCGCAGGCCTACTCTCCAGCCCTGCTCGGCCACGGCGAGGGCGTGACGCGGCTCAACACGCCTACCCGCCTCCCTTCTCCGCTGGGCGGTGAGCGCGTCGTGAGCGTGTCGGCTGGAGAGTACCACAGCCTCGCCCTCACCGCCGGCGGTGCTGTCTGGAGCTGGGGCTTGGGAGGCTTTGGCAAGCTGGGCCACGGCGACAGGCAGAACCAGCTGCTGCCGAAGAAGGTCGAGGCCTTCGCTGACCAGCGCGTCGTCACTGTGTCGGCTGGAAGCGGCCACTGCCTCGCCCTCACCGCCGACAGCAGCGTCTGGAGCTGGGGCAATGGACTCTTTGGCCGGTTGGGCCACGGCGACGAGCAGAACCAGCTGCTGCCCGAGAAGATCGAGGCCTTCGCTGGCCAGCGCGTCCTCTCTGTGTCATCTGCAGGCGAGCACAGCCTCGCCCTCGCCGCCGACGGCAGCCTTTGGAGCTGGGGCTGGGGAGGCTTAGGCCAGTTGGGCCACGGCGACGAGCAGAACCAGCTGCTGCCAAAGAAGGTCGAGGCGCTGGCTGGGCAGCGCGTCGTCGCTGTTTCCCCTGGACTCGGCCACAGCCTCGCCCTCACCGCCGACGGCGCCGTCTGGAGCTGGGGTGGTGGAAGCTATGGCCGGTTGGGCCACGGCGACGAGCAGATGCAGCTGCTGCCCAAGAAGGTCGAGACCTTTGCTGGCCAGCGCGTCCTCGCTGTGTCGGCTCGGGGCCCCCACAACCTCGCCCTCACTGCCGACAGCAGTGTCTGGAGCTGGGGCGGTGGAGCCTTCGGCAAGCTGGGCCACGGCGACGAGCAGGAGCAGCTGCTGCCCAAGAAGGTCGAGGCCTTTGCTGGCCAGCGCGTCGTCGCGGTGTCGGCTGGAGACTACCACAGCCTCGCCCTCACCGCCGACGGCGCAGTCTTTGCTTGGGGCCAGGGCCTCCACGGCTGTCTAGGCCACGGGGAGGACCTGTCGAACCAGCTGCTGCCCAAGAAGATCGAGGCGTGGGCGCAGGAATGAGTTCACGGCTCTGCTTGTGGCGCGAGTTACGCATGTTAGTGTCCGCTGCTGAGTCACAGGCGGCGGCCAAGCACAGTAATCGTCCTGCCGCTCTCGCTACGCCGCTCGTGCGCCCCGCACGCATGTCGGCTTCTCATGCCTCCGGCCTCTGAGGACCCACCTCGGGCGCTTGGGCGGTTGGGGATGGCAAATCGTTCACCAGCGCCCAATAAATAAAGTGAAAACACGCGGAGAATCTTTGAATTCCTCTTGTAGCTTGATCGGTCACACCGCCATCGCGCATGGTCGCCGACGTGAGACGATGGGGGGGGGGGGGGGGGGACGATCGTACTAACCTCGATCCCGCGCATCGGCCATGTCTCCCGCAGCCGCGAGCGAGCAGCGAGAGCAGCGCTTTTTCTTTATTTCGTTCCTCGCCTCTTCCTGGCGGCGGCTTTTGCGCTTTTCTGGCCTCTTCCTGCCTGGCCTCGGCGGCGGCCATGTCGCTCCGGCGAGGCCAGCACGACGCCGCCACGGCTGAGGCGGTGAGCGACGCTCGCGCGCGGTACGCCGACCCGTCGTCCAACTGGCGCTCGCTCAGCGAGTCCACGAACTTCGAGTGGAAGTTCCTCACGCCGCTCGTTTGGGCGCCCGCCTTTCCATTCCTACGGCGTGCACCGCCCTCTGTGCGGCCGTACGTCTTTGGTGGCGCCATCCTGGTGGCCAACATGCACGGCTTCTGGCTGATCAACAATCCAGACTTGAGTGAACTGTAGTGGGTACGCGTCGTGATAGAGGTACTGTGAGTTGCCCGCGCAAGTGTAACCTTTTTGCTCGGGGTATGCTATCCTGTCGTTTACTGAAAGACACATAGGCTCCACCGAGCCACAAAACGAAAAACGGACCATGCACATGGCTATGAATATTCACAATGTCGCTCGCACCGGGTGCGGACCGGCACCGTCGGGCTCCGCCTCCGGAGGCGGCTGCTCTGGCTCAGGCGTGACGGCGCGGGGGGGCGGCGTCACCGCGCGAGGGGGGCCTGCGGCCGCCGCCGCGCGCTCGGAGCCCGACGAGCCTGCGCGCGATCGGGACCGCGGCTTGGCGAGGGATCGCTCCGGCGGCGCCAGCACCGAGCTCGACGATCCGCTCGTGGACTCGGCGGTGGGGGGGCAGCGCGAGCGAGTGCGGGTGCGGAGGGAGAGGCGGCGGCCCGCGGCGCGGCCGAGCGAGCCGGGCACGGGCGGCGGCGCGTCGGCGAGCGGGTCGGCGGACTGTTGCGGCGGCGTCGCGGGGATGACGTGCTGCGTCTGGTTTGGCTCGAGCGGAGTCAACTCGATGTGGACGAGGAGAGAGCATGACTCGATCGGCGATCCGCCGTTGGGGCAGCGCATTTGGACGGAGCGGTAGCCGGGTCGGAGCGCGCCGACGAGCGCCGCCTCGTAGGCGAGGAGCTGCCTGCCCGGCTTGCCCATCAGCTGGTGGCGGGCGTTGTAGACGGAGAGCTTGAGGAAGGACGAGTCGGGGGTGTAGCAGGCGCACCTTGGGTTAGGGTTGGGGCTAGGGTTGGGGTAGGGTAGACGGATAGCTTGAGGAGGGCCGAGTGCGGGGTGTAGCAGGCGCACCTTGCACAAGGGGCGTTGGCGTTGTGGCTCTCTCTTGTCAGAGGAGGAGGCGGAGGGGGAGGGGAGAGGGGGGGGGGGGGGGGGTTCCTAAAAAGCGGACCGGAACTCCTCCTCTGCCCACCAGGGGTTGAGGCCGTTGTTAGCGACGGTGGAGGTGCAGCGCGACCACCGCTCCTCCAGCATCTCGGCGTCCTCGCTCCCCACAAGCCCGCCGATGAGCTCCACCTACCCACGGCTCTCCTCCGTGAAGCGGCGTCGCCAGTCACAACGCCGCTCAGCCCGCCGGCGACCCCCCCCCCCCCCCCCTCCCCCGGCCGCCGCCGCGCGCGCGCCTCGCACGAGGGCGAGATGATGTTTGCGGGCTGCAGCGGCTGCGGCGCGAAGGCGCCCTGAGGATGCCACTCGTCCCACGGCCTCGCGACGAGCCTAGGATCTCGAGCGATCTCGGGGTGACCTCGGCGCGATCTCGCGCTGCCGCTCGCCCCTCGGCCGCGCGGCGCGCCTCTCGTCTCGCGTCTTCGGCAGGTTGGACGCGCCTAGGCGAGGAGCTCCGGGAGGGGGCTCAGAGCCACTGCTCGGCCAGGCGCGGCGTGGGCGACAGAGGGGAGGCGCGCAGATGACGCGAAGCGTGAGCAGCACGCCGCACGAGAGGGTCTCTCCCCGTGGAGGCAGCTGTGGCTTGAGCACGTAGCCGCACCCCCCGTTGAGCTGGAAGAGCGCCTAGTGGCAGCGGCCAGCAGCCCTCTGCTGCCAGAGACCGGCCGCGCCCCGCGCCCAAGCGGCTGGCTGGAGCGGCGCCTCGTCGAGCATCATCGCGCTGTCCCACGTCTGCACGTTGAGCGCCACGAGCTGCACGCCCGCCGCCTGGGCACAGCAGGGCGGCGTGATCAGGCGCCGTTCACACCCTGCGCCGGCGGGCGGGCACGCCGGCCACCCAGAGGCGGCATGCGTGCAGGTCTTGGATGTTGCTCGAGTCGACGCGGCTGCCCTTCGGGTAGACGCGGGAGAGGTGCGCCTAGTGTATGACGTGCAACAAGACATCGTACCATTGTGCTGTATTGCATTGTATACAACGAGTTGTGAATCACGCTGGTCCGGGGTTGTGTTTTTGTGTGAATCGCGCTGCGTTGTGTCGTCAAGGGCAGAGCGAGAGAGAGTGCGCCTTCCCTGTGTGCGCGAGCCAGGCGAGATATGGGGAGATATGGGGAGATATGGGGAGATATGGGGAGATATGGGGAGATATGGGGAGATATGCGCCTCGTTGTGCGCGAGCCAGGCGGGCTGCCGCTCCCTCTCCATGTCGATCGTGGCCGTCTCCTTGAAGGAGGAGACCACCAGCGGCTGCCTATGGGACGCGGCGCGGGGACGCGTCGTGGACGTGTCCTCGCGCCTCTCGCAGCGGAGGAGGCGGCCAGAATATGCCGCGCGCGCTGCTCGGGCGTCGGGGCCGGCATGTACGCCGCAAAGCGCACCGCGCGCATCGCCGTCACCTCGGAGAGGGCCTTTGAGACCTTGGAGCGAGGCTGGAGCCGCCGCTCACCCGGCAGCATTGACGACCGCCGCGCCTTAGCGTTTGGGTGTCGTGCGAGCCGCTTGCCCTTGTGCGTGGGCGGGAACCTGCCCCCTTCCAGCTCGTCGAGCGAGACGACCTGGTCATGAAGGATGAGATCGATTACGAATCGAAGGACCGAGGCGGAGGAGGAGGAGCTCTGACCCTTTTGATGGACGGGTTGAGCTCCTCCTCCTCCTCCTCCCCCTACCGCTCACTACTGCTCTCACCGAGGTGGAGGAGGAGCCCTGGCCCTTGATGGACGGGATGAGCAGGTCGAGCCCCGCCATCAGACCCGCCCCGGCCCGCTCCAGCCCCGCGCCCACGTTCCAGGAGCTCTCCTTGGCGACGGGCGGGAGGGTCGGCGCGTCGGCCGTGGCTGCCGCCGCCTCGGCAACCTCGCCCAGGTCGAACTGCACAGACGAGGCCTGCCGCACCTGCCAAAGAGGTAGTAGCCGAGATGAGGCGGGGAGATCGCCCGAGAGGAGCCGAGATCGCCCGAGATCGCCCGGGAGGAGCCGAGATCGCACCTCGCGCGTCGCCAGCGAGGCGCCCGAGCTGCCGCTCCGTCGAAGGATGGAGGAGCCTGCAGGGAGGTTCCCGGAAAGTTCCGGGGAGTGTCGGGGAGGGGTCGACGAAGGTGCCGCTCCGGCGAGGGGCGGAGGCGCCTCGCACGCGGCCGACGCGGGGCGAGCCCACCGCCACCGTCTGCGCCAGGGCGGGGGGCGCGGCGCGGCCGAGGGAGGAGGTTCGTTCGGGCTCGTCGGCAGAGCCGCGGTAGAGGCGCAGCGAGTACTCGGCCTGCCCCTCGGTGTCGCTCTCCTCGTCGCTGTCGAAGTCGATCGAGGAGCCGAACGAGCCGAGCGCGGAGGAGGGCCGGCTGCTGGCGGCCGGGCACCGCTTCCCCTTGACCACCACCTTGCCGTGCAGCGACTGCGGCGTCTCGAGCTGCCACGAATCGCCGCCGCCCGGCCTGTGCAGCCGCTCGCCAAACACCTCGGCAAGCTCGCTCGCCATGCGCTCCTGGGGGAGGCGGCACGGACGTGTCGTGGACGCGTCCTCGGCACTCCGACGCGATCACGCGCCGAACCGATCCCCGGAGATCGCCTCATCGCGGCGAGAATCTCGGCGAATCTCGGCGAATCTCGGCGAATCTCACCGGTGGATCTCGAACCTCGGCAACCCTCGGGGCGAGAATCTCTACGAATCTGTACGAGCCTGTGCGGCCCTCGGCTACTCTCGTCTCGGCCGATCTCGGCCGATCTCGGCCGAGCTCGCGGTGGATTCGTCGCTCCTGTCCTTCGAGGGAGGCGTGGCACTCGAGGGAGAGGATCACCGGGTACTTGGACGCGCGGCCGCACTTGGTGAAGGCCGTCTCGCTGATGGCCTATGGGGCGGCGCCTGGGCGGCTAGGAGGAGGGCCGCGGACCGGCCTGGAGGAGGCCGCCTCGCGGGTCGCCTCGAGCACGGAGCGGAAGGGGACGCGCGTCGTGGCGGAGAACTTGTGGTACACCTCGAGTCCGCCGTCGGGGCTGTCGAAGATGTCAATCTCGACGCAGCGGACGCCCATCGTGAGCGCGCGGCGGTACATGTCGGCCGACGAGTCCGAGTAGATCTGGTTGCCGGTGAGGAAGGTGTTGTGCGAGGAGCGGATGTAGTAGGCCGAGAGCGGCTTGTCCATCGGCTGGTGGACCTGCGCGTCGGTCGGCTGGACTCAGCCACTCTCGTTGAACTCAGCCACTCTCATTGGACTCTCATTGGACTCAGCCACTCTCATTGGACTCAGCCACTCTCATTGGTGAATGACGTGGCGGAGAGCATGCTGTGCGGGCCTGCGCGTGGGTCGGGTCGACCCAGCCGTTCTGCGACACGTCGAGCAGCAGCGCGAGGACGGCGGACGCCTGCAGCCGAGGACGGCGGTCACTGACGGGTTGAGCAGCAAACTAGTCCATTCCCCATTTATGCGCGGGCGCCTGTAGCCGCGCCTCCGCCCCCTGGGCCAAGCCGGCGCCGCGCTCGAAGATGCGCGTCGCCTCGGCGGCTACGAGCGCGTCGCTGGGCTGGCTCGCGTAGCGCTCTGCGAACGGGCTTCGTCGCGGCGCCTCCGCGACTTCGGCGGCGGGGGCCGTCGCGGCGCCGCTGCGGACGGCGGCGCTCCAAAAGGCGTGAAAGTCGTCGAGGGAGAGCTCGCGCCCTCCGACGCCCCAGCGCGAGTGCTTGCGCAGCCGCGCCTCGAGCGACGGCTGCCGCGACGCGACGACGAAGAGCTTCAGCATCGCCTGCCACGACGCGCCTACTCCCGCCACGAGCCGAGCAGGTCGACCGCTAGCCGCCGCACCGGCCTCCACTCCACTGACAGCCGCGACGCGCCCGCCACGCGGCCAGACGACGCGCGGCTGGCGGGTCGCACGCCGCCGCCCGCGCCGCTCTGTCCGACGCTCGAGCCGGAGGATCCGCCCGCCTGTTCACAGGGGGGAGGTGTGAAGAGGCGCCGCCCCACAGCTGAGCGGCCGCGGCAAGAGAGGCGTCTCGGCCGAGCTGAGAGCGGCGGTGAGGGCGGAGCGGCGGCGCGCGATGAGGCGCTTGCCCTTCCCGAGCGGGTCGAAGAGCTGCTCCGAGTCGACGGAGCAGCCCGCCTGCGGCGGCGCCCACTGCCGCTGGTCGGTGATCGTGTTGTAAAAGTAGTCTTGGCCGGTGGCGGGGTCGACGTGGTACGACCACTCGGGAGGCAGACCTACGGACGGCCGCAGCTGTGAAGAGACGCCGCTGGCGGGGAGAGGGTGGGCGTCCGGCGGGGCGGGCCGCAGATGAGGTGGAAGCGGCGCAGCTCGTCCTTGCCGACGTAGAGGTTGAGGCAGCTGAAGAACTGCTGCTGCTGCTCGAGCGACAGCTGCGTCCGCCCTCCCGACACGGAGCGGAAGGCTGCCTTGAGCCTGCGGCGTGACGCAGGGACGCCAGGGGGTGGTGCAGCGGCGAGCTGCATGCGGAGGATCGCGCGAGTGCTGCGCCGAGATCGTGACTGCAACGCGGTTCTGCTTGAGGACGCATCCACTCGCGTGCTGGTTGGAGGGGGGCGGGGGTACGATACGATTCCGCATCTATAGCCTTGTGCCTCTTGAGCTCACTCTCGGCGATGCCCCACGCGGTGATGTTGATGCGGTGCAGGAGCCCGAGCGCCTTCGCCCAGTGCTGCGCGTGCCGCGGCTTGCGGCAGAGGAAAGAGAGCTCGAGGTCCGTCTGCTGCGCCGCGTCGCTGTAGTAGACTCGGAAGTTGAGCGGCCTCGCCTGCGAAAGGCGCCGGAGGCGGCTTCGGCGGAGGGCGCTCAAAGGAGGGGGGGGGGGGGGGGGGGCATCGCACCGGCGAGTAGAGGATCGTGGTCAGCTCTGCGACGAGGATCATCTTCTTCCATGACCAGCGGATCGAGGACATGTCGGGCGACAGCTGCAGGAAGCAGTCCTGCTGCCGCTGGCCGTCCTTACCGACGAGCGTGAGCACGGCGCCCACCGCGCAGAAGCGGAGCGCCTCCTCCTCGGCCGCGCTGCGCACGTGCTTCGCAATGTGCGGCGGCAGATCGACCACCTCGGCCGCCGCGGCGCCGCGTGTGGTGTGCCATCCGCTCTTGCCCGGAGTCCTATACCCGAGACGTGGCCGAGATGCAGCCGAGGGGAGGGCGAGACACAGCCGAGATCGTGCCCGGAGACCTGGCCGCCGCGGGCGTCCGCTTGATGTCCTCTCGCAGGGCGTACCTGTTCACAGCTTGGAGGTGTCAAGAGGCGCTGTCGGCGGGCTGCGCGCGCCCTCGTGCTCTCGCGACAGCGCACCCTCTGGCCAGCTCCTTGTTGAAGGCGACGAGGGCGGTGGTGACGAGGAGGACGACGCGGAAGACGGCGACGCACGCGAAGAAGAGCACGTACCGCGGAAGGCCTAACGCAGCCGTGCCACGCCTCGACCATGTCGCGCTGTCCAGAGCCGGCGGCGTGGCGCATGTGCAGCTGCATCTCTGCTAGATCTCAGCTAGACACGGCTGCATCTCGGCTGCATCTCGACTGCATCTCGGCTAGATCTCGGCGCCAAGTTGGATGTACCACCAGCGGTCGTGCTGGTAGATGGAGGTCGCCATGCTCACCGGCATCAGCAGCCCGAGCGCCACGACGAACGCGAGCGCAGTGTAGCGCGAGCGCGCCGTCGCGAGCGTGAAGTAGCGCCTGTTCACAGCCGGGCGCGTGACGAGGCGCTGATCACAGAGCAGCCGCCGGCGCGAGGCTAAGGTAGCGCCGGAAGCAGCTGACGAAGCGAGTGCTTCGTGGCGTGAAGGCGAGCGAGAAGCGGTGGCAGAGGAAGAGGACGAGCACGTCGGCGGCGATGATGCAGTACGTGACGACCTGCAGGCGAGCTCGTTCCATGGGGCCAGAGGCGTGTGCTGTGAGGCGTGTGCTGTGAGGCGTGTGCTGCGAGGCGTGTGCTGCGAGGCGTGTGCTGTGAGGCGTGTGCGGTGAGGCGTGTGCTGCGAGGCGTGTGCTGTGAGGCGTGTGCGGTGGGGCGTGTGCTGCGAGGCGTGCGCGATGAGCAGGGCGCGCGGGCGGGCCTGCGCGGACACGATGCCTTGCGCGCGGTAAAAGGTGGTGTCGAGGGCGGTGGCGGCGGTGTAGAGGAGGCAGACGAAGATGGACCACTCGGTCGCCGCCCGCTGCCACTGCAGCAGCCGGTAGGCGGCGAGGGAGAGGCGGAGGCGCGAGACGACGGAGAAGGTCTGCCAGCCAAAGTGGCGGTACACAAAGGCGACGAGCACGCTGATGACGACGGCGACGAAGCCCCACATCCAGAAGAGGGAGGCGTGGATCGCGTGGACGTAGGTCCGCTCGAGGCCGTCCGGCGTGTGCTCGTACAGCATCGCCGAGCGCGCCGCCTCGCCGTCGCACTGCTGGAACATCTCGCCGCGCGAGAGCTCGTAGCCCCAGGCGACGGAGACGACGACCACGCACGCGATCAGGTGGGGCATGTTCTCCGCGGCGATGGCGCGCTTGATGAAGACGAGCAGCGCGAGTGAGAGCATCACGTGCTGCAGCGGCACGTAGAACCTGCATCCCGGCTCGAGGTGTGAACAGGGCGAGGTGTGGAGGGGGGCGAGGTGCTCCCGGTGGGTTCGGCGGGGAGCGGGGCTTCGAACTTTGAGGCGGGCGACGTGCAGATCGAGAAGAGGGAGAGCGAGGCGCAGTTGGGCGGGAGCCCGCATGAGGACTGGCCGTACGCCGACCACGCCTCCAGCGCCTTCCTCGCGGGCGGGGTGAGGGCGTCCTTTCCGTAGCAGACTCGGAAGCCGTTGGCCGAGCTCTGCTCCGGTGACTCTAGGCGAGCGCAGAGGCAGCCGTTCTCCAACGTTGGCTGCTCGAGACACTCGCCCTCCTCCGCGAAGCCGGCGGCGCTGGTGTTGACGAGGGCCGCCGCCTTCGGCGGCAGCGGCGAGAGGCGCGCCTCGCCCCCGACTTGAGCCACAGAGATCGACCGCCACACGGGGGCGTCACTCTCACGCCGCAGCTCCGAGAGGACCCAAGACTGGTCCGAGCAGGCCTCGCCGCCGCCGCCGTCCGCCTCCCAGCCGGAGCAGCCGACGAGCGTCACGGCGGCGGCGTCTGCGGTCGCGCTGAGGTTGGCGAAGCCCGCGCAGTCCCCGACGCTCGCCTCGCCGCCCTCGCACCCGACACCGCCAAGCCACGCGACCGGCGAAGTGGACGGCCACACGCCAGCGAGGCCGTCGACCGCGGTGGAGCCGTCGGGGAAGACCGCCTCCCACACCTTCTCGGCGGCCCAGCCGTGCTCGTAGCCCAGCTGCCGGCAGGCCACCGCCGCCAGCTGTGCGTACTCCTCCAGCTCTTCTTGAGGGCTGTAGTGCCGCGGCTGAACGCCCGCCGAGGCGTCGGACGAGGCGCCGCTCGGCGCGCCGGGGTCCCCGCTCCTGCCCTCGCGCGCGGGCTGCGCCGGCGGGAGCGATGCCGCGGTGGCAGCGCGGCCGGTGGCGCCCCCCTGCCGCGCCGACGCCCTGCGGCGCACCGAACCTGGCGGTGTGACCGCGGCCCACGTCTCTGTGCCGTTGACGGACACCAAGAGCTCGAGGACGCCCACCGGGTTGGGCGACCAGCGGCGGCGGTCTGCGAGAGCGGGAGGCGCGCCCTCGAGGCCGGCGAAGCTCGTGCCGTACACACCGACCAGCCGCACGGCGCCTACTCTCGGGTCGATCGCGGGTAGATCTCGGGTGCAGGCAGAGGGGGGCAGGGCGGGGGGGCCAAGGGGGCAAGAGGGGGCAAGGACGGGGGCCAAGGAACCCAACTGGGCCCCTTATCTCCGGAACCGTGCTCTGTATCGTCGCCTGAAGCGCCTCCGCATCCGGCGCCGACAGCTGCGCCATACCGCCGAATCGGATCTCGGACGCATACGCCTCCGGCTCGCTGCTGCCGTTCACCGCCGCCCGCCGCAAGAGAGTGCGCCCCGCCTCCAAGATTGGCCACCGTCCGCCGCCGCTCTGGTCGGCTAGGATGGACGCCACGCGGAGCTCCGCGGCGGTGGCGTTGGGCCCCAGCGAGCCGGACTTGTCGCACCCGTCGCCGTCGCACTCGAGCGGGCATGCGGCACGCGTCGCCTGCCCCGACACCTCGGGCTGTGAGGAGACGCTGGGAGAAGCAGGCGCACAGGCGGTGTCGCGACGCCTTGTACAGCCTCCTCGCATAGTTGGCCGCGTCGACAAACGAGAGCACGCCTGCTCGCGGCAAGGGAAGTGAGGGAAACACGTAGGGCGGTGTCAGCCTCGGCCGCGCGGCGAGGGAGCTCGCCATAGATGAGCAGCAGGAGCGCCTCGAGGAGGCAGCTGAAGATGAGCAGCCGCTGCGACATCGGGAGCCGCTCGAGCCTACAGGCGCCACACGCCCGCGCACTCTCTCGAAGGCGGTCGCGCGCATGCGGCCCCGCCGTGCGACGAAGCCGCGCGCCAGCTCAGAAAGCGACTCTCGGCGAATCTCGGCGAATCTCGGCGAATCTCGTCTACTCTCGGCGAGCTGCGCGCCAGCTCAAGAAGCTCGATCCCGTCTCGACAAAGACCTGGTAGCCCGCACTCGGCTGGGCCTCCGCGGCGCCCGCGAGCTTGCGCAGCCTAGCAGATGGCACCAGTCCCGTCGGTGCGGCGGTGTCGCCGTCCAAACACTCTCTTGAGCAGGGGCAGGGCAGGGGGTGGGGCGGGCAGCAACATCGGACCCGTCTATAGAAGCCAATCTCGGCAGGGGGTGTCTGGGAAGTGTCTAGGAGGTGTCGGGTGTGTCAGGAGGTGCGCAAGAGTCTCGGACGTGTCAGCAGGTGTCTAGGGGCGAGCGCTCGCCTGGCAACCCTCTCTCGCACCAGCCTCATGAGAGGCGCCTGGTCGTGCTGCAGCAGCTGCGAGGCGGGCAGCGCCTGCATCCCGTCGCCGAGCAAGCTGTCGACCTTGATGCCGAGCTCGGGCCACTCGATTGCCACGTCGACCTGTCGCGCGCGCACACACGCGGTGTGAGGGGGGGGTGCTCTCTCACGGCGAGGGCCCAATCGAGCCGCCGCAGTCTCACCAGCTGCTGCCGCCGCCCGCTGCCGCCCGAGGGGACGAGCGCTCCCGTCTCGTCGCCGCTGCCCTCGTCGAAGGAGGACATCCGGCCCGAGAGGGAGATGCGGCCTAGAGGAAGGGCCGGAGAAGGGTCGGAGAGGCGTCCCGGTTGCCGAAGGAGTGCGTCCACCCTCAGAGGCGACCGGAGCCGAAGCGTCCTGAGAGGCGGGCCGACGAGTAGCGGCCGGAGATTCCTACGGCGCCACGGCTCCGAGGGACACTCACGAGACGCCACCCACACCCCTGTGGGGGAGAGCGGCGCGAGGGAGGAGGGGCCGGAGAGGACGGAGCTTCCGAGAGAGTCCATCGCGGACGACATCCGCTCGGCGAGCTGTGAGAGCCGACGCCGCGCCTAGGAAGGGTCCGAGAGAGGGGTCCGAGCCCGCGCTCCTGCTCGACCCTGCGAGAGCTGGCGAGCTCCTTGGAGGACTCGGCGCCGGCGCACGCGCCCTGCACCGTCGCCAGCTCGAGGCCTGCGTCGCTGGCGGCGGCGTCCCCCCACCCTCGCCGCGCCTCGCCGCCGGCCAGCACGCGCTTCGGAGGGCTCCGGTCCGGCGGGCTGCACCCGGTGGCGGACGGGTGGGGCGCCAGCCCGGAGGAGCTGCGGCGGGCCGCGAGCTTCGCTCGGCCGAGGGAGGGCTCGCCTGTGTCACAGCGGGGAGGTGTGAAGAGAGAGTGCGAGAGAGAGAGAGCAGAGGCGCGGGGTCCCAAAAGACGGCTCGCCGAGGTCGCCGCCGCAGGAGGCGAGGGCGTGCAGCTCCTTGAGGGCATCGCACAGCTCGGCACTGCCGGCGATGCGGCGGGTCGTGCACGACGTCACCGACACGATGAGGCGCTGCCGGCCGCCGCTCGCGCTGCGCAGGCTGCTGCTCCCTCCGCTGCCCGGAGGGGTGGAGAGGTCCGCGCCGGCGGCCGGCTCTGCGGCGGCCGACACCGCCCCGTGCGGGAAGCGCGGCATCGACCCGAACCCGCGCGGGGTCAGCGAGCCGATCCGCCGGAACGGCTCCTGCAGCAGAAAGCGGCGCGTCCCCCCCGGCGTCTTGCCCAGCTCCGCCGGCGGCGAGGGCCCGCCGCCCGCAGCCGCGCGCTCTGCGGCGTCGCGCGGGGCAAAGAAGCGGCCCCCCCCTCCCCTCGGCCCGACGAGGGGGCGACCCCCGCCACCGTGCGTCCTCTGCGCACGCGCGCCGCCCTCCCCCGCCACCCGGACACGGGGTGGGTACCCACAGCCGGCGCCTGCTCCAGGCTGCCCTGCTCCAGGCTTCCTGCCGAGCTCCCTCGCGCTCTCCGCGTCGTCGGAGGAGCCGTCGAGGGAGGAGCGGCGGAAGAGCTCGTCCTACGAGGAGAAGGGCCGCGGCTCAAGGACAAGTGCCGAGCCGAGGAGCGGCGGCAAGAGCTCGGCCTCGGGGATGAGGGAGGCGGAGGAGAGGTTGCGCAGCAGCTCCGGGTTAGTCACGTCCTCGTCGAGCAGGCTGCGCCGCGGCGTCTCCCGCTCGCTCGACTTTTGGGAGCCGGCAGACGTCTGCAGGCTGAGCGGAGTCAGCCGCTGCGCCTGCAGGCCGAGGCGAGGTGAGGCGAGCTGAGCCGAGGTGAGCCGAGGTGAGCCGAGGTGAGCCGAGAGGAGCCGAGAGTTGCCGAGAGGAACGAGAGGAGCCGAGATGAGCCGAGATGGGCCGAGACTGGCCGAGATGAGCCGAGATCTTTCCGCCGCTGCGCGCCTGGAGGTGCGAGCCCGGGGTGGAGCGCTCGGAGAGGATGGGAGACAGCCCCGCCCCTCCGGCCACGAGCACCGCGTCCGCCGGCGGCGGCGCAAGCGGCGGCGGCGGCACTGTTTGCGGAGCTGGGAGCGGCGGAGGCTGCAGCATCATTGGCGGCGGCAGGGGCTGCGCCATCGGCGGCGGAGGCTGAAGCCTCTGCGGCGAGCTGAAGGGGGAGGGGGTCGGTCGGGAGGTGTCATCCGCCGAGCTTGCCAACGAGTTCCTCGGCGAGCCGTCCATAGAGCTCGCGCGACAAGCCGAATACCTCGCGCCGGCCGCCTGGCCCGCCGCGTGCAGCGAGGCGAGACCGGCTGCGGCAGTGGCCGACGGTGCGGCCGCAGAGGGGGGAGTGAAGAGGTTGAGGAGATGACACTGCGGCGGCCCCTCGCCCGTTCGGCGGCGGCCGCCGCCGCCCGCACTGACCTCAGCTCCTGCCGGCGCATACAGGTCCACGCCGCCAGGTTCGCTCGATCGATAGAAAGGGCTCGCCGACACTTTGGCAGAGCTGCACGGGGTGGCGGCGGCCCTCTGCTTGAGCAAGGCGTGGTTCTCCTCTCGCAGCCTGTCGGCCTCATCCCTGAGAGCATCAAGCTGCTCACGCAGCAGCGCCGCCTCGCCGCCGGCTGCGAGCGAGCGGCGCGGCGTGAGCCGAGGCGGCGACGCGTCGAGGCCGCCAAGCCGCGGCCAGCGCGGCCGCGGAGGCGTGTCGGCCATGAGCAGCGGAGGAGGGCGGGAGAGGCGCAATCGGGGCCGAAGAAGGGAGGCGGCTCGTCTCGGAAGAAGGGAGCATCCAGCGGAAGTCAAGGCCTGAGAGGACAGCAACCTGAGCACTCTGCATTGTTTTTCTTTTCTCGACCACCTTCTTCTCCTCGCCGGGCAAGCGAGATTGCTAGAGGTGGAGCAAGCCTGCTCTAGCCTCGCATGTTCCTTCCTGCCGTCACTCTGTTGTTTGTTGTGCCCTTGTTTGTTCTCTTGGCACCGTGGAGTGCTGGGGGGGGCGACAGGGAGAATGTGGCCCTGAGTTATGTGTACGCCAACTCAGGGTGTGTGGCAGCCAGCTGGCTGTGTGTCTTGTGAGCCTGTTTGTGTCTGTGTGTCGCTCGTTGGGCTAGAGCAGGGTTTCCGGAAAACAAAAAGGAAAGGGGTTAGTCCTGTCTGAGGAGGGGGGGGAGAGACGGAGAGGAGAGTCACTGAGCCTTGGCACCAGCCAGGCAGTTGTTTGGCCTTGGCATCAGCCGGGCATGTTGTTGATTTGGCCTTGGCATCAGCCCTGGCGGGCGGGCACGCGGGACATGCACAGATACGCCAAGGGGCGCAGCGCCGACAATCACGGCGGTGATTGTGGCGCAGGTGGGGGGACGGGAAGTCCGTCGGCGTTGCCGGGGGCCCAAGGAAGCGCGAGGGAAAAATTCCGCCGCTGAGGGCGCTCGTGCGGCAATAGCCGGGTGGAGGGGGGAGCGTGCCGGACGGGGCGTCGTCGCGCCGTCCGATGGTCTGCTGCCCCACGCAGCAACCGTCGGGCGACGACCCGGGGGCCAAAAACCCGGCGACGACGGCGCTCTGGATGGGGCGTGACCTCCTGCCTCCAACCTCCTTCCTTTTTGAGCAGGTGTGACGCCGCGCGAGCGACGCTCCGAGATCGCCCGAGATAGCGCGGCGCGGCGGTGGGTGAGGCGGGGTGGGGTGGAGAGGCGTGGCGTGGAGCTCCGAGATCGCCCGAGATCGCGCGAGATCGCCCGAGATCGCGCGGCGCGGCCCGAGGCGAGGTGGATGGGTTGGGAGCGAGGGGGCGGAAGTGATCAGTGCGGTAGAGGGTCAGCTCGAGGCGCGTGAGCCGGACTTGTGAGCCGGACCACCCCCTCTTGTTCTCTGCGTTGTTGAGCCAGGACTCAACATACTCGGGCTGTTGCCATCCCAAACTGTCACTCCCCTTTCTCCCGGCCGGGGTGGGGCGCGCGCGGGGGCGGCGGGTGTGAGGGATGTCTGTGAGCCCGAGAGCGATATGCCATGTCCGCCTTGCGTGTTTTCATAACATCGAAGGCTAAGCTCAAAAGGAAAACAGAGGGTCCCCAGCACTTTGCGTTTCCGGAAATTTCCAGGGAAAACAGAGGGTGTTTGGTGCTCCATTCTGGAAACTCGCGAGTTTCCCTGAGTCTGAGAGCTGGTCTGGGGCAAAATCTGAGGCAAAATTGAGGAAATCGACAAAATACCCAGGCGGTCGCAGGGTAAGTTCCAGGTATCACTCAGCGCCCAAAATTTGACGATTTCCACGGAGTTTTCCCGGGAAAATAGAGAGGAAAAGAGAGGGTGTTGTAGAGAAAAAAGGAAAGGAAAACAGACGGGGTGCGAGAGGCAAACCTGCTCTAGCCCAAGTCGCTCGTGCGTGTGTCGTCATCATCTGTCTAGCGTCCACCCATACCGCGTTGGTGTCCAGTCCAAGCCTGGCTGTTCTTCACCTTTCTACCTACCTACCTCTGTCTCTCTCGCCCTCCCGAATCGCTGGCGAGTATATATCATCTTTGTTTCTACTCTCGTCGCGATCAACGTCCCCATGCCACGAACAACGCTGTAGCTTGCCCATCGGAGTTTCCTCGCCGAGCACGCCGCCGCCCGCCCGCCTCCTCGACCTCCCCACCGACCTCCTCGGTGTCCTCGTGCGCGTCGTCTCTCGCTGCGACCCCCCCGACATCGCTCGCGTCGCGGCCGTCTCGCTGCTCTTTCACGCCTCGCTCGCGGTGGAGGGCATCCGCTTGTGGGCGCAAGAGCGCGGCTTCGATCTGCCGGTGCTGCCAGATGGCGAGGTCTGCGCTGTGCGGTGGCTGTGCTACGCTGCGCTGCTGTGCGAGTCCACACCGTGCAACCCGCCGGCGAGGGCGGCGGCAGGCCTTCAGCACAGCCTCTTCATTGACGGTGAGGGGCGGCTCTCGTCGTGCGGCTCGGCGCCGCACTACAACCTAGGGCTGCTTGGCCATGGCGAGGGCGTGACGCGGCAAACACGCCGACCCGCCTCCCGTCAAAGAGCGCAGTACAGGGTGGTGGCGGGGGCCGCGCGGCGAGCCTCCACTGCAATACTTCGTATAAACATAATATCACGTCACGGGTCACTTACCACTAGCGTTGCAGAAGAGGAAACGTAGTCGTAGATGTGTACGAGCTACTACGCTCTCGACGCACGCACAAGAAGTGCTTCTATTGTTCTAATGTACCGTGCTCTGCTGTCTCGGACCAGACTAGCACGGGTGGCGCGTCGCTCTGCGCAGGCGGACCCTGCCAAGCCGCTTCGACGATCGCCTGCGTGGTGCGGCCTGGCGGACGCCGGCCGCGCGGCCCTCACACACCCAACCGCTCCGGTGCCCACGCCTCTATCTTCTTGGGCAGAAGCTGGTTCGACAGGTCATCTCCGTGGCCTAGTTTGCCACCTCCTAGGGCCCCCCCTCCCCCCTTGCCCCAGGTAAAGACAGCGCCGTCGGAATTGGTGGCGATGGTGTGGTCGCCACCAGCCGACACAGCGACCATACACCGCCCACCAAAGGCGTCGACCTTCTTGGGCAGCAGCTGGTTCTGCTGGTCGCCGTGGCCCAGCTTGCCACAGCCTCCACAGCCCCAGCTCCAGACGGCGCCGTTGGCGGTGAGGGCGAGGCTGTGCCGCCGTCCAGCCGACACAGCGACGACGCGCTGGCCAGCCAAGGCCTCGACCTTCTTTGGCAGCAGCTGGGTCTGCTCGTCGCCGTGGCCCAGCTGGCCATAGCCTCCACCAGCCCAGCTCCAGACGGCGCCGTCGGCGGTGAGGGCGAGGCTGTGGTGGGCACCAGCCGAGACAGCGATGACGCGCCGCTCCGCCAAGACCTCGATCTTCTTCGGCAGCAGCTGCTGCTGCGTGTCGCCGTGGCCCAACCGGCCAGAACTTCCACTGCCCCAGCTCCAGAGGCTGCCGTCGGCGGTGATGGCAAGACTATGGACCAGCCCAGCTGACACAGCGACGACGCGCCGGCCAGCAAAGGCTTCGACCCTCTTGGGCAGCAGCTGGTGCTGCTGGTCGCCGTGGCCCAGCTTGCCAAAGAGTCCTTACGCTAGGCTCCAGGAGGCTGCAGACACCGACACGCACACTAGATACCTAAACTATGGCCGAAGATGGGCGGCGAGATGCCGCGGGCGCCTCGAGAGCAGTATGAGTAGGGACGGGCGAGGGAGGAGGGGCGCTGACCACGGGCGACTACGAGTCGAAGGTTCGAGGACGACTACTCGCCGCCTGGGTCGTTTGGGGCGCGCGGCTCCGTCGAGGACCGGGCGCGCCCCTTACCCGGCGCGGCGTAGGTCCCACTCTGACGTATAGAGGGGAGGCACGGACAACGGCCCAATTCATCAATTCCACTCATCTTCTGGTGCCTAGCCCCGTGCAGCGGCGGTCCGGCAGGCTGCCCCCAAGGCCCCCTGGGCCGCTGCGGGTTTTGGAGTTATGCTTTGGCACAGCTTCGGCGATGGCGGCCCCTCTCTGGGGCTTGCATAGGCGGGCAGTCTCCCCCGCTGGTCTCCTCATTCCCTTTTTTCTTTTTCTTTTGAGAGCAGGACGCCGGGTTTGTCTTGTATGTGCGTGTCGGGCCGGGGTGTGAGCGAGGGGCAGAAGGGGCGGGGGCGTGCGGGGCAGAGGCCCAACGTCGGGCGGCTTGTCGGGGTCCGGAGCATTCGAGGGGGGAACGAGGAGGGGAGAATGGGCGGTCGGCGTCGGGGTAGAGCAACAGGCGCGTACGGGGTAGCCGTCACTCTCCCGCCTCAAAAGGGCGGGGCTGTCCCGGAAAGTGAGAGACGCCGGGCAGCGTGGCGCATTACTGAACCCTCCCATACGTGCTCGTACTCCTCCTTCGCTGTCCCATCTCCTCGTCTCTTTCCCGCCTGGGCGGGGCGGTGGGCGGGCGCGCGGTGCGGCATGGCGTGTGCGTGTGCGTGACTGCAACGGAGGACAGCTCGCAGAGGACCATTGGGTTTGTACTATTAACAACGAAGGCGCTCTCAAAAACAAATCAATTTTCCTCATCATTGCAATTTCATGCAGGACCTGTCGTTGGTCTCACCCTTTCGACCCGGCGTCGGCGCCGGCACACACGTGAAGCTACTGACGTCCACGGAGCTGAACGGCGCGCTTGGCGTCGTCGAGAGCGCTGGGAGCGGTGAGCGCGTCATCGTGCGCTTGGCCGCTGGCGGCCGGCGCAGCATTCGCCGCGACTCGCTGGAAATCGTCGCCGCCTACCAGCCATTCGGACCGATGGTGCTCGACGCGATCGAGAGCGAGGGCGACCTCAGCGCCGTCGCCACGTGGCTCGCAAGCGGCGGCGACGCCAACGCACCCTTCTCTGCTCTCGGCGCAGTAGGCATGGTCATGATGCAAAGGTACGCCGGCGCGACGCCGCTCATGGTCGCCTGCGGGTCTGGCGCCTTTCGCAAGGTCGGGCCGACTCGCATGGAGCCCGTCGTCAAGATGCTGCTCGACCATCGGGCCGACCCAAACAAAGCAGCCCCCGACGGCTGCACCGCCTTTGTTGCAGCGTGCCAACAGGCTGGCAACTTTCCGATTTGCGCGCTGCTGCTGAAGTACGGCGCTGACGTCGACGCGATGTCGCCGCCCGGCGCCGTTGCGCCCAACAGCCAGTCCGCGCTGGTGACCGCCGGACTCGCCCGCAACGCGCCCGGCGTCTTCCTACTTCTGCGTGCGGGTTGCG